ACATGATGCCCTCCCTTCAGAAACTGGGCCGAACGGCAGTTTTCCAACATGATAACGACCCCAAACATACCGCCAAGATGACAACTGCCTTGCTGGGAAAGCTGAAGGTGAAGGTGATGGAGTGGTCAAGTATGTCTCCAGACCTGAACCCTATTGAGCACCTGTGGGGCATTCTCAAGCGGAAGGTGGAGAAGCGCCATGTGTCTAACATCCAGCAACTCCGTGATGTCATGGAAGATGATCCCAGCAACAACCTGTGCAGCTCTGGTGAATTCCATGCCCAGGAGGATTAAAGCAGTGCTAGATAACAATGGTGCTCACACAAAATATTGACACTTTGGACACGGTTTTGACATTCACTTAGGGTGTACTCACTTTTGTTGCCAGTTATTTAGACAACAATGGCTGTATGTTGAGTTATTTTTAGAGGACAGTAATTCTGTACTGCTATACAAGCTGCACATTGACTAGTCTAAAGTATATCCAATTTTCATTTCTATAGTATTGTCCCTTGACAACATATAATAAAATGGTTGCTGAAATGTCAGGGGTGTGTTTTGTGAGATACTGTAAGTCTTATTTGTCAACTTTAATTAATATGGACAAAATCATTGATTTCACAAAATCAACAATACTTATAAAGTATTTATTAATCCAAGTTAATGTTAACAAATGAGACCTAATTACAAAGTGTTAGCATATATTGCCTATATATATATTCTACTTTCTGTTGGTAGCTTGACAGTATTTTAACTAGAGTAACTTCTGCATGGGAAGCTACAAAGTAGCTCTGCAAATCCATACTGGTACTTCATGTTCGCAGCACAGAATGAGGAAGAGAGAGAATGTGATGGAGAGGAGCAGTTAGATAAATAATAAAACAAAGATCCTGCTGTTTTGTCTGAGAGCAGAGCAGTTCACTTTAATGCACATATGTGCACACACAAACGTGCACACCGACACTAACACAAACTTACTTCCCAATGTCAGCAGAGCTGCGCTCAGAGCTGCAACTTCTCTCTAATTAGTCCCAGGGCAAGCACTCGGAGCACTGAAAGAGATGGAAAGGTGAGAGAGGGGTGAGGGGGAGAAGTAGAGTCTGCGGTGAGTTGAGACTGGCCGAAGAAAGGCAAAGCAGAGGAAGTCAAAAGTGTATTAGACATTATGAAAGATACCGAAACACATGATGTTACATCAGGAAGAAGTGCGGCTCGACGCCATGATGGAGGGACAACAGAAATCCAGTCTTTGAACTTTTTGACCACATTCTTGTCAGTTTATATCAAAAAATTATTTTGTGCAGCTTTGCTTTTTACAAGCACATTTCTGTAATCATTTAAATTTCAGTCTACTCATCACACTTTGAACTAGGGTGACCACATGTCCTCTTTGTTACAGACAATTCCTGGCCGGGATTTTTTAAATTGCTTGAAATTTCTGTTTTTTTGGCTTTGTATTCCTACTGACGTACTCTCTACAGTCCACACATATTTGTAACGGAGCCGACGAGACAAGAGACGTGTGGATCCATCTGCAAAACTTTTATTAAGGGCATGGTCAAAACAGGCGAGGGTCAGGCAATGGCAAACAGGTATATAGAAGACAAAACAAGAGCAGTCCAGTAAACAAGCGAGGGTCAATCGATGGCGAACGTAATCCAACAGGGCGACACTAGAGAAATAATCCAGGTACAAGGCAAAGATCAGAACATGAGAAAACAGATTAGGCAAGACTAAGATAAGGCTAGGAAAACTAAGCCGGCTCCGTAAAGTAGCTATCAGCTATAGCAGTGAAACAAGGGTGACCTCTGATGGCTAGCAGACGGAAGTTCATGGACCGGATACGTAACAATATTATACGTGTATTTGCATTGCTTTGACCGCTCTTTGTAGATCCCACCATCTCACAAGCCATGATTGGTTGATTATGTACAATGCCTGCACGCTATTGGTCAGACTACTTTTCAGTCATTGCCTTCAGAAAGTATGGAACAAAATGTTTTTTTAAATTTGGTTAATCTGGTAGAAATAATTGTCAAATAAATAATTAAACAAACAATATAAAAGATCATAATAATAATAATAATAATATAGATACAATTAATTTAATCATATCTATTAAATAATGTACATTAAAAAAGAGAAAATTTATTTTTCGCACAGTGATGTCCAAAATTAGGCTGTATATGTTTTTTTAAACATGATCTGTTTATGAAAAAGTTAATACTTAGTAACCCAAATTCTAGAAACATTATAATACCATAACATTATTATTATTGTTGTTGTTGTTGCTTCTTCATTTTCTTTATTGCTAACAGTTACAAACAGTTCCACACAAAGGCACAGCAGTAGTCTCTAAGTAGTCTCATCCTGAATGAATCAGCAATTGTAAACTAATTGGTTGAATGAATGATTCAATGACTCGCACATAAATAAAGTATCTTGTTTTGTTCCTGAATGAATCAGCATTTCTGAACTAATTGGTTAAATGAATGATTCAATGACTCGCACATAAATAAAGTATATTATTTCATTCCTGAATTAGTTTTTGAAGGAATCGGATAATTAAAATGACTCACTCAGAAAAACAGTTGCTTGTCGCCACCTACTGACAGAAAGTTGTAACTTGCAGAAAGAGTCAGTGAAATTCCACTAATGGAAGACGTTTATATATATACAGTGGGTACGGAAAGTATTCAGACCCCCTTAAATTTTTCACTCTTTTTTATATTGCAGCCATCAGTATATGCTATTTGTGCAGCAGCAGTATGTCTTGAATAATCACAGCACTGTATCAGCGAATGTATTGGCAGTAGCAAGTTCCTGTACTTGATCTGCAGCAGCAGCAATAATCTACAACAACCAGTGGCGGCTCGTGGGTTTTTAAATAGAGGAGGCACACTAATTATTGGTCTGGGATCCCTGCCGATTATTATTATTATTATTATTATTATTATTGTTATTTGCTTAATCACTTTAAAATGGCTTTTTGGTTGCTTTTAGTCAGAAAACGTAAAGAAAACGACACACGTACAGTAAGATAATATAATTTCACTTATACCTGGCCTATCACTTGAAGCAAACATCCATCCCTTCTTAAAAGTCTGCATTAAAAGAGAGCTGCCTGTTGTGCCATTTAATTAAGCCGCCTGCTGTAGCCTATATCCAGCTTAGGCGTGTTTTCCCTTCTTTTAAATTTGTATATATACTGTTTGAATGATGGCTTGATATTTGGAAATCAAATATTCAATATCGCTACTCATCATAAGTACTTGGTACATTATCAGTGCAGCGGCAGACATTCAAACTAATATCACGTATTACGCCTCTATGATGATTGGTTGATATACCAGAAGGGAGGCTAGCCTCCCCTATGAGGTTTCTCTTCTCAACACTGAAAGTGAACACTCGACGGTGATTGGCAGCTTCCCCCTCCCCTTCTCTATCATTTAGCGGTTGTAATTACATCAGCAGATTCGGCACATTCCCGATAGAAAAGCGGCGCTTTCCAACTTCATTAACATGTTATGGTATTACAGCTGTGAAATTACAAACAAAAAATACACATTCTGAGACATGAACCGAAATTAATTGTGAATTTTATTAACATTTAAATCATCGTCCTCCCATTTTCACCTCAAAATTTTGGGGAAGCTGTGCTTCGCCTGCCTCCCCAGACGAACCACCACTGGCAACAACAGCAGTAACCAACAGCAGCAATTCAGCAGCGTAGCTGTTGTTATATCCATTACCATGCTAAAATCTTTAGAGAGTTGTCATAATAGAACTTAGGGAAAAAGCAGACACTGGACAAGGCTGAATCTTTCTAGTGCACATGGTTCCAGCACCTGTGTTCATGCTTGCTATCAAATAGAGTATACTTTGAAATGTTTAAATGTTTAAATTAAATGTTTAACATATGCTAAGGTATGAATAAAAGTCTAAGTACTTTGGCGACAAGTGGAGTGATACTAATAGTGAAAAGGCCCAGTGCAGTTGGACTACTTCAGCTCTCTTGGAACGTTCTGTGTCTAATAAGATTCGAGGTCCAGGAACTAATTGTTCTGTGACTTTAAAAAGATTTTGATCATATCGCCTTCCCTATATTCAGAATACTATGAGGTTTCTCTTCTCAACACTGAAAGTGAACACTCGACGGTGATTGGCAGCTTCCCCCTCCCCTTCTCTATCATTTAGCGGTTGTAATTACATCAGCAGATTCGGCACATTCCCGATAGAAAAGCGGCGCTTTCCAACTTCATTAACATGTTATGGTATTACAGCTGTGAAATTACAAACAAAAAATACACATTCTGAGACATGAACCGAAATTAATTGTGAATTTTATTAACATTTAAATCATCGTCCTCCCATTTTCACCTCAAAATTTTGGGGAAGCTGTGCTTCGCCTGCCTCCCCAGACGAACCACCACTGGCAACAACAGCAGTAACCAACAGCAGCAATTCAGCAGCGTAGCTGTTGTTATATCCATTACCATGCTAAAATCTTTAGAGAGTTGTCATAATAGAACTTAGGGAAAAAGCAGACACTGGACAAGGCTGAATCTTTCTAGTGCACATGGTTCCAGCACCTGTGTTCATGCTTGCTATCAAATAGAGTATACTTTGAAATGTTTAAATGTTTAAATTAAATGTTTAACATATGCTAAGGTATGAATAAAAGTCTAAGTACTTTGGCGACAAGTGGAGTGATACTAATAGTGAAAAGGCCCAGTGCAGTTGGACTACTTCAGCTCTCTTGGAACGTTCTGTGTCTAATAAGATTCGAGGTCCAGGAACTAACTGTTCTGTGACTTTAAAAAGATTTTGATCATATCGCCTTCCCTATATTCAGAATACATATTCCTGTCTTGTTCTGTTCACTATATGGTGTACCTCAGGTGTCGCCAATGTATTCACTAATATTCACGCCGCGGGGAAAAACTCGCTCCCTGCGTGGTGTACACGCCGCGAACGACCACATCATTAGAAGAGTTTTACAGAGAATAAGCTGAAAAGAGAGAATTTAGAATCAAACAAAGCCTTTCATGAATGAATGATGCTCCCCTTACACTGTCCATAGTCTGAAATGTTTTTCAAATGGGGTAGTGGCATCATCTTCAGATGGAGAATCAAGACTTAGGTGGAAACTTTTCCTCCATCAGAAGCTTCCTTTCCCTCGACTTTAGTCTGGTTAATTCATAAGATAATTTTTTTTTCCAACCCAGAGAGAGAGTCATACGAAATTCCACACTGCTGCCAAATAACTTTTCATGGATTTCAATTTCACAGCACCTACATATGCTGAAGTTTCAGTATTGAAACCCTGCAGAGAAGACAGTCAGTCCCTTTGAAGGCAAGTTGGGCATATATATATATACAGTATATATATATATATATATTATGGGTATTAGGGGTGTAACGGCACACGTTCATACTGAAAATTTTCAATAAGGGTCTTTCAGTTCGGTATGCATATGTACCAAACAAATAGCTGCACCATTGTTTTAACCACTGTACACATAGAACTTAATTTGGAAATTTCCATTTTTTTATATTGTTACTTTTGATTAGAAACAAAGTCTCATCTTTAAAATTATGTCAATTTTTTCAGGAAATTCAAACAATAATGCTGTTTTGACACTGTTTGATGTGACACGACAGATTCATATATATAATCTCCATATTGTAATTTATAATATCAGTAAAAACATGTTTACCAACAATTTTATTGAGAATGATTAAATTATAATTTAATGTGATAAAACTAACTTGAGATCAGTTACCATTCAGCTTTATAAAAACGAATTAAAAAAGGACTTCTAAAGGTTTCAAAGCTTCATGAAGCAATGTTTCAAACACACCCTTTATCTGATAAAGGTCTTTCAATGTTTCTTTCACGTTTTTCAGACTGTGCAACAATATTGAAGCTTGAAACACGAGCAAACATATCTGAATGCTGCCTTTTTTTCATCACAAGTTTACATTCACACTTCTAATGGCTGACTGTCAATCCATGTTTTTTTTTTTTTTTTTTGCACAAGGCTTACAAGAGTGCATAAAACAGCTTTTGTTAGCCTGTACACTAGATCTATCTGTCTATCAGTAGAAACAGTCTTCAGATCAAATTCATAGACCATTTTGAGTCCTCTTTCACATCAGAGAGATGTGTGCGTACAATTTTGCAGCGTTGCTACGGGAATGCATTATATTGACTCTGACATAACTGATATAATTTAGCATGAAATGGCTTCAGTTATTGCATTGATTGATCATTATGAGAATGCATCATAATTCGCAAGAGATTTTCACCTCTCCAAACATATGGACGGTTTTAGCTCTGACTCCTAGACCGCAGGTCGGTGAGAGGCCCTCATTACCAAAGACAAGTCATAATGGTCAAGTCAACGTCTCTGACCTCATTAGAGCATTGCCAGATAGGCTCAATTAAAAATATGGTGACTCCACAGCTCTGCGGCTGACAACGAGTGCGGCTTCCCACCATGACAACCATTAGACCGAATCTAAAATAAGAACCCTCGAAATCACGGCGAGCACCGACAGCAGTCATACTCTCGGGTCCATTCATTGTTCAGATTTCACTCCATAATACGATCTCAGCACCTCTTCTGACGGCCTCCACAGGTTCATGTATCATTTATGAAATGAGACCTGCAGCGAGAGAGGAAAGGTACACGTTGAGGTTTGAATGAACATGGGGTTTTTCTAGAAGCTTCTCTCGCTTTGTCAGTGTCACCGCTGCCTGTCTTACACCTTATTCACACCCTTATTCTCACCTTCGATTTGAAACACTCACATAATGAGCATTCAAGTGCAGGCTGGGATCTTCAGACATGGGTTTGAATCCCTCCAGCTCTGTGTAAAACACGTCTACCATGCGCATTATTAGCCTTGCGCTTGTGTTAGGTTTTATGGTGGGTCACCACGAGACTTGATGCTTACGAGAGGTTATTTTTAGCACGCAGAGGCAACTTTTCGACTACAATATCTGTAGCTCCAGCCGTCAACTTTAAACAAACCAGGCTGTGCGTATGTGTCCAGTGCCTTTTAACATAAGAAGAATATGAACAAAGAAAACAATAGACATGATGGATGATGCAGAGAGGGTAATTATTTAAAATGCGGCAGGCCAACAGTGCAGCCAAAGCAAAGGGCTGCCAAAGTGTGATAATTCTCATTCGTTTGAATTCGTAGTAATGAGACTAAATTCTGGTAGTTTTGCATCTGACAGAATAATATGATTTAAAAAAATGGGTGTAGAAACAGTTTTCTCTCAGAATTTGGTAAAGTCAACACTTAATTACAAAGCAATGGAAATTAACACATTGAACTAAACATGAAATTTTGAAGTAGAAAGACAAATAGTATTTTCTGATAAAACATACAAATCTTTTATTTACAACTTAATTTTTTTTTATATACAGTATATAATTTGCTTTTGGTCTCCCACCAAAACAAAATGTGACCGATTCGCTTATTAAACTTAGTAATGCTAACTTTTCACTAGCATGACAGCAGCTCTTCTGTTTACAATGCACTATAGCTAGTTGGCAAATGATTATCAGTGTAGCATACACAGACGCAAGAAGGGTTGGTCCGATTAAATTGACTGAATATCAGTTTCATAGAAGATTCACTGATTCATTTGAATCCTTACTCAACATTTTACACATTCTTTTTGCCTTAAAATATTTAGTATAATGCTTCTGCTCATCATTATGATTTATAGTTTTAGTAGTTGCATTTAGTGTAAATTGATCTGTTCAAATTTCAATTTTGATACTTTTAAGATTTCCTTGTGCCAGATAACTGACTACAAAAACATACTCTATGATATTTAAAATATTTATATTAATTTATAATCATACTTTTCTTCACGCTGTGCACTTTTAGGAAATCATTCATTTGGATGGGTTATGTAAATTAATCAAATCAAAAAGAGACAACTTAATATATACAGTATATAATTTGCTTTTGGTCTCCCACCAAAACAAAATGTGACCGATTCGCTTATTAAACTTAGTAATGCTAACTTTTCACTAGCATGACAGCAGCTCTTCTGTTTACAATGCACTATAGCTAGTTGGCAAATGATTATCAGTGTAGCATACACAGACGCAAGAAGGGTTGGTCCGATTAAATTGACTGAATATCAGTTTCATAGAAGATTCACTGATTCATTTGAATCCTTACTCAACATTTTACACATTCTTTTTGCCTTAAAATATTTAGTATAATGCTTCTGCTCATCATTATGATTTATAGTTTTAGTAGTTGCATTTAGTGTAAATTGATCTGTTCAAATTTCAATTTTGATACTTTTAAGATTTCCTTGTGCCAGATAACTGACTACAAAAACATACTCTATGATATTTAAAATATTTATATTAATTTATAATCATACTTTTCTTCACGCTGTGCACTTTTAGGAAATCATTCATTTGGATGGGTTATGTAAATTAATCAAATCAAAAAGAGACAACTTAAAGTAGCTTCCTCAACACTGAAAAGCTATTATATAGTGCTTTTAATTAAAAGAAAAACATATTTAGCCAAAGAAAAAAGCATAACCTCCATATTTGTCATGTAATCGTGGTGAGTGAGTGTATCAGAACACAAATACATGACATAAAGAACGAGAGCAAGAGAGAGAGAGAGAGAGAGAGAAGCGTGAAGCTTGTCTGTTTCAAGGTGTTGTTGAATGTATATGTAGTGTGAGTATCTAACTTGGACAGACAGATTGAGGTCATTCATTCGTGTTTGTAATGAATATAGAAGCAGACAAAGATAGACAAGAAACACAAATGGCAGGCAAGGGAAAACGACAAGGAGGAGAAAATAGAGTATGGTAAAGAGAGAATCTGAGGTTCAAAATCACAGAGACGTGAATGCATTAAGGGGTCAAGGTTTGACTGGTTAGCATGGTAGTGCTGGTAGATTGTGTGTGTGTGTGTGTGTCAGCTTCAGACAGACCACCCACAGTCTCTTCACTGACCATCTGATGCAAACTGCGCTGGATTTGGCATATGCTTTTAGCTATTGAAGGTATACTATAATTGTATCAGTTATTGCATTCCCTGATCATAATTTTTGCTGTTTTCCAGTCTATTCTTGTGGATAAACAACACGCAAACACTAAACAGACTCTTTTTGGTCACTGTTCATGTGGTTTTGGGCTAGACACTGCAGAGTGAAATATATCTTGTGCTACAAACCAAACATCTAGCTACATGAATACCAAAATTCCAGCTAATAGGGAACTTTCTTATTTGAATAACCTTCTGGTAAGGTTCAATGTTAACAGGATGTTCATTCAAAGATATCTGGTCTTTAATGCTCTCCAAACTTTTGCAAAAACATTATTTATACCTTTTTTCCAAAACGTTTTAGTTGAATATTTGACTAGCATTTCTTAAATGTGACTACTTATTTCAGAATGTTCAGAGAATGTTTAAATGTAACATTCCCATGAATTTTGAAATTATAAAATGGAATGTTCACATAAAAAAGCGTTTTTAAAAACTCGACATTTTGAACATTCACAGCATTCAGAAATACATTTTCATAACATACTGAGAACATTAACAAATATCGGAACATATTTTTGTTAGCTGGGATACTAGTTTATATGATTATTTTTCTACTGTAAAACTTACCAAAATATTCTGAAAGCTTTTTATATGATTTGAAGGAGATCCCATATTAATAACTACAGTACATTTACAATTATGCATTTGGCAGACATTTTTATCTATATCTGTTTGTATACATTTTATCAGTAGCAGTAATAACTGTGGTAACTATGGTATTTTTAGAGCACATTTATCATGTTTATCATATCATATTTTATCTTGAATGCAATGTAAGTTGTGTATATACAATATATCTTCCGTGTAACACATTCTTTTATGTATAAAAAGTAAATATGCTAGAACAAGTCATATAAAAAACTAAATAAGCTATAAATAGGAAAGCTTGAGGACTAAGCCGTTTTTATCAGATTAAAAAAAGCACAAAGTTAGAACTTTTTTATATGTCTGGAGCTCCATTTTTTTCCTTCTTTCTTTTTTTATATGTCAGAGTCAACCAAAGGTTACAGATAATGATGTTTCCATGCCATCCTCGGCTATCCATCTTATGGTCATAGCTCACCACACCTGAAAAAAAAAAGACAAAAGA